CCCTAAACGAAAATTGACTCAGAAGTTACTTGTGAGTATTTGGTAGACTAGCGCCGGTGTCGTTCACTACAGCTCTCTAAAGTTTGGCCAAACGATTACGGCAGATATCTATTGTCAGCAACTGCAAACCATGAAGGAAGAAGTAGCTGCTAAACATCCGAGATTGGTCAATCGCTCTAGGCCACTGCTGCTTCACGACAACGCAGGACCACACACTGCACAACAAACAACCACTAAGTTAGATGAGCTACAATTGGAATGTCTGCGACATCCACCGTACTCCCCTGAACTTGCTCCAACAGATTACCATTTTTTCCGGAATTCGGACAACTTCTTACAAGGAAAAAAAATTCAACTCCGATGCGGCAGTCCAAACCGCCTTCAAAGAGTTTATTGATTCTCGCCCCCGTGGTTTTTTAGTAAAGGGATTAATGAACTACCTATGAGATGGCAAAAGTGCATAGATAACAACGGTTCATACTTTGATTAATTAAATATATTTTACAAAAAAAAAATAACTGACTATATATTCCTCCCGTAAAAATCGCCAATTTCATATGTAAGGATGTTTTTCCTTGTGCAATTTATGTTTGTAAACTGCCTCCATGACACAGGAAAAAATCCTAGTGTGGGGATAAGGTTTTAAAAAAATAAAAAAATAAAAGGACCTAATAAATATTTGAACGGACTAGTTACTGGCATGTGTTTGTGTAGTTTCTAACGCCGTTTCTTCTCCGGTTAGGGGAATATCATAAAGAAACGGTAATACGTTAAAAAAAGAAGACATTTGATAAACGGAATTTAATTTACTTATGTCGAATATACAAATAGGTATATTTCTATTCTTTTTATTTCACTGGTATATTATCTGATGATGCCGTGAGTTGAACTTAGGCGGCTTAAATAAAAAATAACAGTTAGAGTAATTATCGGATCAAAATGTGTTGCGACCGTGACCCACCGTAAAATTATGTTTTTTTTTTCACACACAGATAATACAAATATTTTTAGGTATCGGACATTACTAAAAATAAATATATTTGCATCTCCTCTGCTGTAATCGTCAACATGTGGATATTTATTTTTCCCTTGGAAGAATTTACTTAATCGCTACATATTGCAGACTGATTAGCGATCATATCTTAATGCTGCTCTGGTTTGCAGTGGTTTGTAAATGTAAGTCTGGAATTGGTGCTAACTTTTATACAGAATATCATCATTACCATAATTACGAACACGTTTAGGCTACTGTGCTATCAAACCGTCTGATTTATTACGATCACCGACAGTGGTGTAGCTATGTAAGCAAGGGCCCCGAGGCAAAATGAAATTGGGAACCTATTTGAGCTAACAAAACTACTTCATAAACAGCTTATTATCGCCCACAGCAAGGCGTAATAAAGCAAAGCTACTTACTACTACTTACTCCTAATCCTACTAATATTATAAATGTGAAAGTTTGAGAGGATAGATGGATGTTGTTACTTTTTCACGCAATAACTACTGAATGGATTTTAATAAAACTTCACAATAATATACGTTATACATCAGAATAACACATAAGCTATAATTAATATAAATATTGTGTAAATTGGCCAAAATACATGTGATGTTAGTCTGAAAAAAAAAACTGTCATCTACGAGCTACTTTGCCGTGAACACGCATCACGCAAAAACCTGTGAACCGATTTGAATGGGACTTTCACTGGCTGATAGCTGATGTTATAAGGAGTAACATAGGCTACTTTTATTTTAGGGTTCCGCGCAAAACAATTCCACACGGGCGAAGTCGCAGGGAACAACTAGTGATATTATAAATGAGAAAGTGTTGTATCTTTGTTACGCTTTCACGTCAAAAACTACTGGATGGATTTAAATGACATTTTGCACACGGATAGAACTAAACCTGTGTAGGACATAGGATACTTTCATTACGATAAAAGGATCCCGTGGGATAATTTTAAAAGTTGGTTCATACCAGGCGAACGATGTCGTGGGTGGAAACTAGTAAATAATAAACAATTGCGAAGTAAATTACAGCTAACGAAGTAGACAATTTTATTTTAACAATGTTATGTTTATATTCTGCAGGTGGGAGAAATTTTTGTAATTTCAGTTCAAGCCATTCGAGGTTTGTGGTCAGCGGTTAAAAAGTCAAAAGTCGAAATTTCTTTACCATACTAGGATATTATAATTCTTTTCAATGGTCGTTTATGGAGGTCGAAGGGCCCGTTGAGCTTAGGGGCGGGGCACTTCCCCCCCCTCTCGCCTAGCCCTACGTTAGCGACGCCACTCATAACCGAGTTACCACTTCAAGTTTGTTTTATGATAGATGAGACTCAAATACGCAGGGCTCGATCTAGCTATTTGGCCGTTCCGGGCAAAGATAATTTTCGCCGCCCTTTACATACACAAAAACCATATAAGTCATGAGCTAGTTATGTTGGGGGATCTTAAGTATACAAGTACCTACATAAAATACGTGATATTGTTAGGATTATACCTACCTATAATACTATAATATTCATGTCTGTCTATTGGGTTTTGTGAAGAAGTACCTATACGAAAGTTGATGGGTGTTTTTTTGTTAGTAATTATACTATGTATGTCTTTTAAAGAATTTCAAAGAAAGTACTGAATGGATTGATATATATTTTTCTCGTCATAGTTAAGAACCTTTCAACTTGTTTATCATCTAAAATAATTAAGTTAAGTAAAATAATTTTTTTTTAATAACTGGCTTTACGGCTCTGGGATCTAGCCCTTCTGAGCCTGAAGTTACAATATATTATAATTATCCTTCATAGTACACTGCTTCACAATATGTTAATGCGTCACATTGTGCAGCCCTTGGGAGATTTTGGCGGCAACTTGAGCCAGCAGACAGCTGACAGTTGGCGATGGTATCTCAAGGCGCTTATGCAGACAGACACCTTATCTTGAGAATTACATCACCATCAGAGCACTTGTTTCACCGTTTCCACTAATAGTTCACATGCGCAGCTTTACACAGCGCACTTTTCTGCCGACTTCCAAAAAGGAGCCGGTACTCAATTCGACTGTATGTTTTTTTTTTTCGTTTTTTTTTTATGTGTGTTACCTCAGAACTTTTTTCTGGGTGAACCGATTTCGATGATTCTTTTTTTATTTGAAAGCTAGTACTTCTCGTGTGGTCCCATATGAATTTGATCAAGGTCAGACCAATAGTTTTTAAGTTATTCTTAAATAACTTATATTGAAGTCGGCTGTACAAAATTTTTAATTTTAAATTATACATATCAAAATCCACTTTAAACTATTATTTAAACAATAATACGGGAGCAGCAGTCCGTCGCCGGTCAAGTTCCCGCCAAAACTCCGTAAAATACTTAAATATTTCCACTATCCATATACCTGAAGTAGGTTGGAAGGTGGCACATAACATTCTCAACCTGCCAACTTGGGTGGTGGATAGCTAATAACCATTAGGTTGGAAGATAGGAATAAGTCAATTTTGCCACCCATCATTTTTTGCCGTTCTGGGCAAATGCCCGGCTTGGCCTCCCTTAGATCGGGCCCTGCAAATACCTATAGGTGCGCTAAGCTCCCTGCCTAGTTTATCAGGCCTTATTTAGCAGCTAACATGTGAATGTGATGTGCAGAATTAATAATGATGATGGTTATGGTCTTTGCGATAATGACACGCATAAATGATAATGATCATTAAAGAAGCTAATAACCCCTTGGAATGAGGTGATCGCTACCCAGCTGTTTTGTGTTGTTAATTGTGTAACAAAAAAAATATTTCTTGCTGGTTCTTACCATTATAGGACAGATATTTTTTTTCCGAACCAAAAGTAAATTAAGCATAAGAGTGACTAAATAAGTATTATTTATAATCTATATTCAATAAAAAAGTTTCTTTTTATGTTACACGGGACGATTTCTCCAATGTCGTCATCGTGTGGTCATTTATTACAGCCTATTAAATTTCACAGTTGATCATAGGGCTTCTCCATAGATTCACCATACAGAGGAGACATATGTTTTAGCTGCCAGTACTGGCAGTGGGGATGGCAGCCGCAGGTATTTTGATTTGTTATCAGATCGTTTGCTACTGCTCATCTCCTTTTTTTAATTAAATAAGGGTAACAAACGAGCACACAGTCCACCTGATGATAAGTGGTTGCTGTGACCCATAGACATCTTTGATTACGAATCAAAATGCAGATGCGTTGTCAGTCGTGAGGACTAAGATGGAATGCCTCGTTTCCAGTAAAAAAGGGTCTCCGGTTCTCTACACTCACCATACGAAATACAGCAGCGTTCGCTGCTATTTTACGCTGGTATTCTGTGAGAGCATGGTCCTTCCCCGGTCGAGCCGACACATTCGTGCTGCAACCATGTGGCGTATTCGTAAATATAAGAAATCAAGACGTACGCTTTTTGCATGGTTACCTCTAAGATCCTCTAAAGGTATTATCTTATTAAAGTTAAAGCGTTTTATATGCAAAAAAATATTAGTAGAATATTCACTTTGTACTGAGGGCCGCGGCGCGAGTTCGAATTACGCACGGAAAAAGTATTTTTATGACCTACAAGTAATTATTCCGGGTCTGGATGTTTGGTCGTGTACAATTTGTGTACATGTTACCTGCCTCCACGATATAGGAGAAAATCCCAGAGAGGAGTAAGTTTTTTTTTTAAAACTTGATATTTTGAAAACTAAGCTTCTTTTATATATGGAAGCTTATGATTATTTTTGTATCTAACGAAAGTGAACCCTGTTCGTGGCCGTGTGGTGGTTTCAATCGTTCTTTTTCGTCTTGTGGACATTGTAAGTGTTGACTAAAGAATTGCCATTAATAGATCTTCAACCGATACTTTTCTCCTACTCAGTGGTTAATACTGATCTCGTGTCTCGTGTATATTGTGAAGATCCTACCGTCGACGTAGTTTTAAAAGTATTGCTTTGGTTAAAGGCAGGCTTAATTACGCGTGAGATGATGCTAACGTTGCAGTTAGAGCCGGGCACAAAGAAGGAGATGCTGGGGCTAGCAGTGGGCGCGAGTCCTCTGGGGCAGTTGCTGCTGTCTCCACTGCTGGGGCTGTGGGCCAACCGTGCGGGCAGTGTGCGCGCGCCGCTAGCCGCCACTATGGCCCTCTTCGTGCTGGCCTCCGCGCTCTACTCGCAGCTGCATCTCACGCGCCCCTACGCACTCTATTGCATGCTGGCAGCCAGGTTCCTTATAGGAGTTAGTTCTTGTAAGTATCCAACCATTATTCAACTGTTTCACGCTTGTATTTTGTGAGAGCGTAGTTCTATATCGTTCGTACTGCAACCATAATATAGCTGCAGCATAGCTTTATCACGTAATTACATGATTTATTATCATGACAACCTAAAAAAGACCACTATTGAAATAGTTTATACGTGGTAGAGTCATGCTGCAGTTATATAGTCGTATAGTTGTAGCACGAATGGGTCGGCTAGACCAGGGAAGGACCACGCTCTCACAGAATACCAGCGTAAAATGGCATCTTGACACTGCTGTGTTTCGTACGGTGAGTGTAAAGAACCGGAGACCCATTTTACTGGAAAAGAGGCATTCCATCTTAGTTCTCACGGGTGACGACACATTTGCATTTTGATTCTTTATTGAGGATAGATGTAGATGTGTATGGGTCACAACAACCACTTACCATCAGGTGGACTGTGTGCTCGTTTGTCAACCTATCCTATAAAAAAGTTCCATCCATTGGTTCATAGATTGCCTCATAGAGGAAATTTTGCAATAGTTGCCACGCTTGGTAGGTGGGTTGCAGTTTTTGATTTTTAGCTGTTATCAGAAAGATGCTGCTGCCCATCTCGTGTTTCCCTCTGTTGCCTCTTACGACACCTATGGGAAGATAAAATGAGGCAGTGGATATTCTTGCACCGCCACTACACGGTTATATATAAGTATTACTGAACGTAAAGAGTTACAGTTTACGTTTCCTACTTAATATACTCGTATGTAGCAAGAATCTCAGTCTGTCTAATTATTTACTAGAACATGTATGTACATTGTTCGACTGGGGAAGGACCACGCTCTCACAGAATACCAGCGTAAAATAGCAGCTTAATACTGCTGTATTTCGTATGGTCAGTGTAGAGAACCGAAGACACTTTTTGCTGGAAACGAGGCATTCCATTTTAGTCCTTAGGGGTGACAACGTATCTGAATTATGATTCTTAATCGACGAGAAATGTAGATATCTTAGGCCGCAGATTTCACTTACCATCAGGTGGACTGTGTCTGTGACTGTTTGTCATCCTTATTCTATAGAAAAAAAACCCGAAATGGCAATCGCCCTTAACACTGACGACTCTGGTGTCACATGTCAACTGATGGCGATTATCAAAAAAACCTCAGTCCCCACAGGGTGGGTGGACTATGAGCGCTGTAGAGTGATGAAATACCTCGTTACTAGTAGTAACGATATTAATAATATGATAACGATATTTCATCTCAGTCTTTATAGGTGATGACGTATTTGTATTTTGATTCTTACTTGCGGATAGTGATTTGGACCACTGCATCCGTTGTCCATTATGTGGACAGTGCTATCATCAGGTGGAGGATGGATAACTTAGCTACAAGACGACGATTTTGGGGAAGTTGCACTCAATATTGAGTGCTGTGAAAATTTTACTGTGTGCTCGAGTGTCACCCTTATTTCTATATAAAAAATATGGGTGTACTTGTATGGTTGTAGCAAACGTGGCCGTGGCACGCGCGTACTTGTCGGCTGCCACGCTGGCAAGTGAGCGCACACGCGCTGTGGCAGCTGTGTCGCTGGCGCAGGTGCTGGGCTTCGTGGCGGGCCCGGCGCTACAGGCGGCCGCCGCACCACTGGGCTCCGCGGACGAGTCTCCAGGCCTACGACTTGACATGTACAGCGCGCCTGGTGCGATCAACGCTGTGCTAGGCTTCATCAACCTGCTATTGCTGGTGCCCTGCTGTTTTCAGGAGACCGACATCGCGCTGCGTGAGGCGGTGCGAGCGCGCGGTGACCAATCAGGTACACATCTTTATGTATTTACTCGCATACTGCCCGTCCGAACTTGTTCTGTACCGGTTGAAAATCAGCGCTGCTAGCTTGCGGCTTATGCTGAGACGGTCCCTTCCACCACTTCATCACATCACACGATTTTTTTTGTATTACTATGTGTGTGTGTGTGTGTGTGTGTGTGTGTGTGCGTGTGCGTGTGTGCGTGTGTGCGTGTGTGCGTGTGTGTGTGTGTGTGTGTGTGTGTGTGTGTGTGTGTGTGTGTGTTTTCTTTACGTTTCTTTTTTTAATCAGTCATTTTTTTATTGTAATGTATCATGTGCAGATGTAAGTGTTAGAATAAGCGACTTATGTCTTTATTAGTACCCGCTCCTGTGTTAGTACTTTATCAAGAGATAAAGTCGACGCCAACAGTGAGTCCAATAGTCTTTGAATAGCTTGACTTGAATTCCACCTAATGGAAAGTGGTGATGTAGCCTAAGATGGTGAAGCGCGTTTGTTGGTAAAGTCTATTCAGTAAATCTTAACTGTAGTACGCTAAGGTTAGCATAACAAAATCCTATTCACTCTTGCAACGTCTTAATCGCACGGAAAGAAACTGAGAGACTGGTAAATTGCTTACTTGTTGTAGGCATTACGAAAGCGAAGCAAGCCGTTTAGTTCGATTGCGTGGGATGTCGACAACAAAGGAATGTAGATTCATACGCATATTAATTATTCCCATTTAATTTACGAGGGTTGGTAGCAAACTGGGTGGAGATGCTCATCTTCACAATCAGTAGTTACTCTATTATAGCTATTTGTGCTTATATTCGTTAACTTGCTGATGCGGTTCTTCTCGAGCCTGTCACGACCGTAATCAGTCTATCTCGCTCGCACTCATTGGGATTATGGAGCGTCATAATGATGTGCGTAACAGCTGGTAGTCGATATCGATAAGATTTAATGAACGAATTTTTTAATGTTTGAAATTATAAAATAACAAAATAACATATAATCTACATTTATAAATATTTTATTATATTACAAATTATCTTCTTCGTCCGAACCATCTGTATCACTATCGTCTTTCTGTAGATTTATAATCAAAGGTTCAGCTTTATTTCTCAAAAAAGATTTTTTTTCAAATGCGTTTCCTGGAGGTCTTCTGCATGCTTTACATATTTAACCTAGTTTTCCTAAACGTTACTAATTTTCAATAAGTATGATTCAGGTAGCGAGTGGCGCACAGCAGTGGCACATTCCTATTGTTGATGACATTTATGACCCGACGACTCAGTTGATAATGCGGGCACTATAGCAAACAGTATCAGTGCCAAAGTTTTTTCATTGTCTGTATTTTATTAAAAACAGATTATCCATATTCCATAGGTAGATGTAATGTAAAAGTACTCCGTCAATCGGCAATCTTGCTCTCAAAGTTTTTTTTTCTAAACCAGTATAATAAGTCTATGATTTCCGAAAAGGCCTTCATTCATCTGTGGACATAAATAGGTTGTTTCTATGCTGTTGCCTGTTGTTGCGTTCTGCTAAGTTCCGGAGGACTACACAATTATATCTGTGTAGTCGCGTCTATAAAATACCAACTCTAGTGTTTATGTGTAGTGTTTAAGTGTAACTTACCAAAATTTATATCGATGGTGGCGAGTTGAAATTGAGGGTATTTAGAGAAACCCCCTCCCGCCCGTTTGTGCAGTATAAAGTTCTCTATTGAGTCATTCTACGAGTTAAGTCATTCTACGCGTGCTAAGATAGAGTCGTGGTTCTGTCCGTTGTGATGATTCTTCTGGTGCAGGTAAAGAAGGATGGTGTTGCTGAGAGTCTGTGCTGTGTTACATTGAGATGGGTAGTGTTGCTGTTGGTTTGTATAGTTTGGTGTTATCATGTAATTATATTCTTCACGTTACACCAGTGAGTAATTGCGGCGAGGTCATATTACGGAATGGTCGAAATGTAATTGCCTATACTGATTTTTTAGCCTCGTACCGGTAGGCGAAGTGTAGGGAAACCCCTTACACTTCGCCTACTGATGGAGTGACGATCTGGTAAGACATGCAGGAAGTCGATGGATGCAGGTGGCTCAGGACCGTGCTTTGTGGCATTCCTTGAGGGGGGCCTGTGTTCAGCAGTGGACTTATGAAAGGCTGTAATGATGATGATGATGATACTGATTCTATAGTGCAGTTACGGTGTTTTGTTGCCACTAATGATTAACTGCGTAAGCAAGAGGGCAAGCTGAATATACACTCTCACACTTTTACTATTTTTAACAATTAAGGGTTAGTCCTGACGTATTCCCGCTAGTACCGACACCAATTTTTTTGTTTCTTTCTAAATATTTTTCGCATTAATTTTGCATTATTCTTGCAAATACACTTATATTAATAAAAATCAATCAATTTACAAGCGCATCATTAAATTTGTTCATGGTGTCGATTTACAGAGAAGGAGGTTTTGAAGGCGCTGAAGCCGGACTTCATCAGCAGCTGGATGCTGGTAGGCGCGTTCTTCGTGCTGGTTTTCAACTTCGTGCTGCTGGAGACGCTAGCCACGACGTTGAGCATGGAACAGTTCGGGTGGGGCAAGGCACAGGCGCTGCAGTACATGGGCGCGCTCATGTCGGCCGGCGCTGTCGTCGCCTGTCTCGTGTTCGCCGCCATCCCTTCACTGACCCGCCGCTTCGAGGAACGGTGCGTATGCGTACTCCCCACCAAAATACTGATTGAACCAAATACTACTAGACCGGCAATTTATAATAAAAATGCGGATACTTACGACAGTTACTGTTACCAAAACTATTACTTTTATATAAGTTGTTAGTACAGTACGAAATTAAACGTACTTATCTGAAGTAAACATCAAATCACGACGACGGAGTGCGCACATAATTTTTTTTATAGGATAGGGTGACACACGAACACAGAGTCCACTTGATGGTAAGCGGTTGTTGTGGCCCATAGACATCTACATCTATCCTCGTTTGCGAACCAAAATGCAGATGCGTTGTCGCCCGTGAGGACTAAGATAGAATGCCTCGTTTCCAGTAAAAACGGTATCTGGTTCTCTACACTCACCATTCGAAACACAGCAGCGTTAAGCTGCTATTTTACGTTGGTATTCTGTGAGAGCGTTGTCCTTCCCCGGTAGAGCCGACCCATTCGTTCCAACCATAATATAGCCAAAGCGTCATTAACATCATCATTGTAGTCCTTCACAAGTCCACTGCTGAATATAGGCCTCCTCCAAGGAATACCACAAAGCACGGTCCTGAGCTACCTACATCCACCGACTTCCTGCATGTCTTACCAGGTCATCACTCCCTATAGTAAGGGGGGCACTCCAAACTTCGCCTACCAGTACGAGGCCGCAGCTTGAGATTTTTTTCCCCGTCGGTTGTCAGGGGTCATTGTAGAAGCGTACTCGTCGCGACCCCTGCCAACCCTTTTCAGGGCTGCAATTCTACTAGCTGCGCACCCATGCCAACGAGGGTTAGGCCGTCCCCCCAAGGCGACGCACACCAGATCGTCCCCGTTGGTGTGAAATGCAGCGCGCAAAGCGGCGATGGGGACCGCCACCCGTCACGCACAGCCCGACACGGCGGAAGGTGGAGGACAGAGTGCAGAGTTGGCACGTGGAATGTTAGAGGAGGCATGAGAGATAAGACGAATGAGTTGATCGAAATAATGAAAGAAAGAGAATTAGATGTCATGTGTATGTCGGAGACCAAGCGGAAGGGCAGTGGTACTGAAGAGCTCCCTGGCGGGGCGTTAGATCTATGGTCCGGAGTCCCGGAGAGCGAGAACGCCTGCCAGGGAGTGGGGGTGCTGCTGTCTTCTCGGTTGGTCGATGTTATGACTGAATATAAGGTTGTGAACTCAAGACTTCTCTGGGTTCGCTTTAAATTGGGACTGACGAAGTTATTCCTTTTGGCTGTTTATGCGCCGGTAGCTTCGTCGTCCAGGGCTGAGCTGGAGGAGTTTTGGGAGAATGTAAGAGAAGTTCTAGATTTGGCTAGGGGAAACGAAAGAATTGTTGTATGTGGTGATTTGAATGGATGGGTTGGTACCGCTCGACCAGGGTACGAGTCGGTACTTGGAAAGTTTGGCGATAAAAGGGTTAATGATGCTGGCAAGCTTATACTGGCGGTGTGCAAGGAAAAGGGTCTTCTTGTGACAAACACTATGTCTAATCACAAGAAAATCCATATGTATACTAGAGAACGAAAGAATGAGAGAAGTATGATCGATTTGTTCCTGGTGGATGACCGACTGCGAAAACAGGTGATGGATACGCGAGTGTTCAGGGGTGCTGACCTGGGAACGGATCACTATCTAGTGATTACTAGATTTAGGGGTCTGTTCGCGGGTTGGCGCTACCGGACGGCAGTAACAGAACCACAGTCGGTCTGTCGCATCCGAAGCTGGAAGCTTCAGGAAGCGGATACTAGGGACAAATATCATGCGAGGGTAGCCGAAAAGCTTGACACCATCGATGGCAGAAAAGAATGTGTAGAAAGAACATGGCAGAACCTTAGGGATGGAATGGTAAGTGCAGCGGAAGAAGTGTGTGGAACAATAAAAAGAGGCAGTAGTAAAAGAAGAGATGCATGGTGGAATGATGAAGTGAAAGAAGCTGTAAAGAAGAAGAAGAAAGCATGGTTAGACTACTTAGCCTCTAGTAATGATAAGGATATGAGAGAGAAGATGAAAGAAAGATATAGGCTGCAGAAAGTTCACACGAAAGCACTGATTGAGGAAGTGCGTGAAAGGTGTAGAATGGAAGCGGACGAAAGGTTGTCGCACAACTTTAAGGAGAACTCCAAACTCTTCTGGAAAGAGGTTGGAAGGGCCCGAAGTGGTGCGACGGCCTTAAGAATGAACAAAGTGCTTTCGAGAACTAATGACGTCCTATCAGAAAAATCGGACGTCATGCAGCGATGGAGCGAATTTTATAGAGAAATGTATGCGTGTGATGATCTTAGTGAGGGATCCGGGGATGACGCCGTGACTGGTACGCCAGACCCGGACCTCGATGACACTGAGGTCATCAGTATGAAAGAGATTGAACATGCGATTCGAAGTTTGAAATGTGGTAAGGCTGCGGGACTAGACAGAGTTACTGCTGAAATGGTCAAGTATGGTGGGCCTCGCGTCTGGGACAGCTTTCGTCTGCTGTGCAATTTGTGCTGGCGGACGGGGGATGTCCCGGATGATTGGCGATCCGCAGTCATTGTGCCTTTATATAAAGGTAAAGGTTCACATTTTGACTGCGGGTGCTATCGGGCGATCAGCTTGACCAGTTTAGCAAGTAAAGTTTACTCGAAGGTTTTGACACGTAGGATGCAAGAGAAATCGGAAAGATTTCTATGGGAGGCACAATGCGGATTTAGACCTGGAAGAGGATGCACGGATCAAATGTTTTCTCTCCGCATGATCACGGAAAAGCTTCTGGCTGCTAACCAGAAGATTTTCTGTGCTTTTGTGGATCTTGATAAAGCATTTGATAAGGTTGTAAGGAAGAAAATGTGGGAACTGTTGCCGGGGTATGGTGTGGATGGTCAATTGCTAAGGGCAGTCTCTTTACTGTGACTGTAAAGCCTGTGTGCGGGTAGGGCATGACCTGTCACCCATGTTTAACGTCCAAACGGGCGTAAAGCAGGGTTGTGTCATGTCTTCCTGGCTGTTCATACTGTATCTCGACAGCTGTTTACAGAAGCTGAAAGATAGTTGTTTGGGTGTGAAATTGGGTGACATTAAAGTAAATTGTCTGCTGTATGCTGATGATGCAGTGCTTATTGCACCATCAGAGGCAGAACTGCAGGCATTAGTCACGTGTATGAAAGAGGAATGTGAAATTAAAGGTCTCCGTTTGAATGCTAATAAAACTAAGGTTCTGGTATTTGAAAGGGACGAAGAGAGAACGAAGTGTGAAATATGGGTAAATCAGGAATGTCTAGAACAGGTAAATGAAATTGTATACTTGGGGAGTGCTTTTAGCCGGGACGGAAGATGTGATTTAGATGTGGACAGGCGTGTCGCTGCCGGGAACAAAGTCAATGGTGCCCTGGCTGCGTTAGTCAAAAGGCAAGGCGTAGCGAAGAGTGCACGCCTTGCAATACATAACGCAGTGTTGGTACCGACTTTGTTATATGGCAGCGAAACCTGGGTATGCCAGAAGAAGCATAAAAGTAAGTTGAATGCAGTGGAGATGCGATCTCTTCGTAAAATGTGCGGCGTTACCATGGCTGACCGAAAGCGAAACGAAGAGATTCGCAATATGGCAGGTTTGAAAGATGACCTTATCACAAAAATTGATAAGGGCGTGCTTCGGTGGTTTGGGCACGTTGAGCGAATGAGTGAAGACCGAATGGTGAAGAAAATATATAGCGCGAAAGTTAATATTAAAAGGTGTCGAGGTAGACCGAGACTAACTTTCGAAGACCATGTGAGCAAATTGCTCGAAGAGGGTAGGGTCAAAAGTACTCGGATACTTAGACGTGCATGCATGAAGAAGATAATGAATCTGAAAGAAGCGAAAGAGGTATGTAAGGATCGTGACACTTGGCGATCTGTTCTCTCTGGCTACCCCGTCAGGGATTGTGCGTGAAGATAAGTAAGTAAGTCGGTTGTCGGTTCTTCGAGCTATATGGCCGGCCTATTGCCACTTCAGCTTATTAATCCGTTAGGCTATGTCGGTTACTATGATTCTACTGCGGATATTCTCATTTCCAAGTCATCACGCAGATAAACCTCGAACATAGCCCTCTCCATAGCTCGCTGAGCGACCTTCAGCTTCCTCACATGGCCAGTAGTAAAGGATCACGTCTCAGATCCATGTCATCACTGTCAAGATGCACTGGTTGTACAATCTAAAATCAAAAATTTTGAACAGTGGTAGAGCCACGCGGCAGCTTTTGCTGTCGCACGGATGGGCCGGCTCGAACCGGGGTGGTACCACGACCTCACAGGAAACCAGCGTGAAGTAGAGGTTTACCTCTGCGTTTCGCTTGGTGAGTGCAGGTGGCCGGAGGCCCTTTTTACTGGAAATGAGGCATTCCATCTTAGTCCTCACGGGTGACAACGCATCTACATTTTGATTTGTAATAGAGGATAGATGTAGATGTCTATGTGCCGCAGCAACCACTTACCATCAGGTGGACTGTGTGCTCGTTTTCAAGTTTTGAGGTGTACCTGACGAGAATATGTGTATTTATCTCCCGAACGCTGCCCAGCCGAGTGGAATCTGTCGATTGACCTCTCGGTCGAAGTTGGACTTACCTAGTCGGACTATTTGTCCCAGGTAAACATACTCGTCAACAACTTAGAACATAGTGCTCCTAACAACTAGCGGCATAGGTGTGACATGGACGTTACACATGTTGTGAATTTTGTTTCTGAGCTATCCGTTGGGAGGCACTATTGAGGTCATTGAACATAGTTCTTACTCCTTAGGTCCTCCAGCGATTCTGTCATAAGGACTATAGCTACACCGTAAAATTTATTAATCAGTTTATAACAAATATACCACTTGAACGATATGATAAAGTTAGATCGCTGTCCGATAGAGTGTATTTTAGATTTGTCTAATGGAGTAGTGCCTTATAGTTAGTACGTTAAAAATAACAGGTAGAGTGCTATCATAATACTTGAAGAAGGTCAATTGCTACATATGTAGTGATATTAAACTCCCG